ATTACTTTTTATTAACAGTTCAAATTAATAAAATATTTAATATCTATTAAAAATGTAATATATAAAAAAATTAGCTAATACATATAATTTTTAAAAAAATATATATCATTTTTTTATATTGCATTATTTATTTTGAGATTATTATTATTCATAAATTCATATAAGTACAGTATAATTCTTATCAATTTCGTTTTTATCAAATGTTATCAAAATTAATCATAAGATTTCTTTTTATATGATTAAATTGATTGAAATATACATGAAAGAAATATAATCAAACAAATTAATAGATAAATAAAATATAAAAATTAATAATATTTTTTTAACTTATTTACTGAAATTTAATTTAATTAAATTTTTATTAAAAATTAACAAAAAAAATGTAAGTAAATAAAAGAATATATATTACAAAATTAAATATTAAAATAAAAAATTTATTTGATTCTTATATATTTATTTTATAATGTTCTTTTAAAATTGATTGATTAGTAAAATTGGTACAATTCGAATTTTTTAGAATACATTTGTTATAATTTATTCAGTTAGTTTATTCATTATAATGGTCATAGACTAATTAACACTTAAATAATAAATTTACTGCCCTACTTTTATGATTTGTACTAAATAGAATTATATATCTAATGTTAAAGCTTTATTTAAAATAATTATTTATTAATTTCGTGTTGAATAAAATAACAAATCATCTATGAATTAAATTTCATTATTCATTAAATTATTAACGAAATATCTAAAAAAGAATTACTTAGTTACTTTAGTTACTTAGTTAAATAGTTACTTTTTTCACATTCTATTACCTTTAACCCAATCTTTTAACTGATGAATCATTCTGATTATCATAATTAGAACATCGACATTACTTTCGAAGTATGACGAACATATTACGTGAAATATCATGTGTAATAGAAAACAATATAAAATGCGATACTTTATTCATCTTTCAATTACTAATATTGATATAGATTTTTATTTTATTCTTAAAAAAATTTAATATAATATATATTAATAATTAAAATATAAAATATGATATGTGAAAATATTTATAATTTAATATTAAATATCGAATTTAATATTAGATAACATTATAAATAAATTAAATATTATACTGAAAAATTTTACGTCTTATTTTACTTCTTTTACTTCATAATGTATTTTTTATTATACGAAATATTATCAGTAAAATTTAAACATACCAAATGTGAACTTTTATATTCAGGGAAATCATAAGAAATCAGAAAATTTTATACGATATAAATTAGAAAATGTCGACTAAAAGCTTTGAAAATGAAAAATGAATGAAACAAATATAGCGCGGTTTTTATATAAATTAAGAATTTCTAACGAAAATAATAATGTCACTTTGTATACTTGTCAAATATATAAAACACAGAGATTTGGTAAAATTATTCATTTAATGTGGTTTGGATTCATTGAAAAACTAAATATATTTATAAAAAATTTGTGAAATTGAAAGAAAATTTGAAATACGCATGTATGCGCAAACAAAGATTGACAATATTTAGCAACCTATGATATTACGTTACTATCGCGACTCATTTCCACATATATGATGTTGTCTGCAGTTATATAGGTTCAAAAGAGATATAGGAAGCAATTGTCCCACCCCTTTCACGTTAATATTGAGAAATGGGTATGACTATCGAATAAAAACAAATGACCTGTCAAGATTTCGCGGTTTTTTGACATTCGATTAACCGAAATATTTGTCACTTACCTTTTTTATCGTTTGATGTATGTAGCTCTTGGCTGAAGCATGTTTTTATCAATAAATGTCACAAAAAAATACACAAAAAGGGTTCTTCGCGTATTGCGTTTTCTCTATCGTTTCTGGTCAATCAAAGGATAGCTGTTGTTATCGTTTTTCACGGGCGTGTCATCGCTCACCGTTTAACATCGTCGCACTATTCACTGTAATATTAACAAACAGGATACACTGTGTCGTTCTTAGGCATTTAATCAACGGTAAACTCATTCAGAAACATCATAAAATGCACACACGATACGCCACATTCGGCGAAACCGCTTCGTTACTTCACAACTCGACAGTGGAATACGCCAAACGGAACACAGAGCAACGAACGTAAAGGAGGGGGTAAACACAACCGATATTACCACTTGCACTGACTGATCTTTTGATTCCTAGGGATATTTCCTAGGAACGCGCGATTCGTCAATATCACAGTATCGTATCTATTGCAGTATCCATCACAATATTTATACAAATCTGAAATGTTATTTTTAAATATAATATAATATGATTAAATAAGTTTCATTAGTCTCAAGATCATTTAAAAATGATATAATAAATTTGTTTATCAGAAATCGAAAATTTTTAATTTCTATTATTATTTCTTAATTATTAATTTTTTAATATTTTATTCGAAACATATGTTTTATTAATCGAAAATAAATAAATTTTTGTAATATTATATAACGAAATTACGTACCAATTAAAAATAAAAATAATTTTTGTCTATTATTACTAATTTTTTTGAAAATATTATTAATATTATTAATATTATTGCTTCATGAATTTTCATGTACTATAATTGTACATATTAAAAAACAGAAAAATTTAAAACTTGTTACCATGTACCAAATACGATACTGTCCTTGCAAATTACTATATTACTCGGATATCTTCGGCTAAATTCGGATTAAATACTGCACAAAGAGAAAATGCATTTGACGATAATCATAATTTATTTTAAATTTAAAATAATTATTGTTAAAAAATATATTCAAATAATTAAATCTAACATTTGTTAATATATATATATATATTTAACGTTGTAATAATTTTTTCGTGATAATAATGTAAAAATAAGGAATGAAAATATCAAAATATCAATAATCGAATTTGTTCATTGGAAGTCATTTAATTGTTTGAGTTTATCAATAACTGAATTTCCAAAAGAATATCTATATTGCGGACTAATAAAATTCAACAAGCTATATAGTGTTTCGAACTGCTCGTTTCCTCTATTTGATATGTTATCGTGTTCATTACCAACAATGGTAAAACCAGCATTTGACAGTTCTATGCAAAACTTCAAGTTTTCTAACGTGATTAAATTTAAATAGAAGAACTGATTACTATTTTGTAATTTTTCTGATACTTTTATGTCCATTACATGTTGTTTCACGTCATTTATAATAGCTTGAGCTTCTAATTTCCATTGGTCCTTATCCAACTCTTGATTAATCACCTCTTCCTTCATTCTCAAGCTTCGACGATATTATCTCACATGTAATATATTTATCGACGCATGTAATATTTTAGGCAATTTGATAGCGTTACAGTTGTATCAATATTATGCTAAATATCGTTCACTTTTTACATGCAATGATGGCACGTGACAGGTTAGAATGCGGGTCAAAGACCAAGAACAAACGGTTATGTAATTATCTATCAAACTTATTTATTCCTAAGGAATATATAATATCGTTTTTCAGTGACGATTCAGTAATTGTGATCTGTGATCAGTTTAGACTTTGACACTGCGTAATTGATAAATTATATCGTACAATCAAACTCATGTAATCCCAAGTACATGTGCACCAAATGCACTCTCAATACACACTAATAGTAAATTCTTTGTATATAACATCTAGCCTTCCGGAACGCCATCTCGTTGCGTTATCTGTTATTAAATTTGCCGCAACATTGAACCAATAAGCGGGAAAATTTATTATGCAAAAAGATAAAATATTAATGCAATAACAATTTAGACAATTTTCAAGCATGTTATATAAAATAATAATCTTTCTATTTAATATTAGTTGGACAGTAGCTCAAATAGCTTTTAAAAGATCAATACAATTATAATTCAAAATGGAAAATCATTTATATTAATAATAGATTTTTAAATCTTCTAGTTTATAAATTCTAAAAATGAGATATTTTTAGAAAAAAAAGAAATTAATTATTCTTGTTTTAATTCCCAGTTTAATTCATAATTATTTAAAAATGAAAGAATAGTAATGCCATTATAATGAGGTTCACATTTATTTATCAATTTCACTTATAGAACATATAAAGTGTAATTGGAACAGATCATATCTTTTATTATACTCGACATCCAGGACTTCTTAATTACAATTGCATAAAATTATTATTAATATTATTACTATGTTTATTGGAATAAAATTTTAATTATTCGATTAAATAAATTCTTGCCAATTAAATTTTCTTCTCTATATGAACATGAACTACTATCACTTTTATTTAAACAAGAAATTATAAATAGTGAGAAAAATCAGTAAATTGTTCTTATATAAACTGTTCATAATTTTCTTCTTTTTTCTTTTTTTTTTTCTTTCTATCTTTACAATCCTTAACTGCCTTCAATTCAAGTTTTAATATATCAAAAATTTTGCTCAATTGATCGTACAATTTTCATTGACGATCGACTTCGATTCAACGCGAGTTCAAGCCTATTAATATCTCTTGAATTCCACTCAATTGACAGTGCGATTTTCAAAGACGATCGAGTCGATATCGCGGAGCATGACAAGAGAACCTGACGAGGTTGCAACAGCTGCCTCAGCTACGTAGAGATGAAGACGGGCCAAGCTGAAACTGGGAGATGTGGGATCAGCTGCCGGAGCTGATACTGACGCAGATATTCAGTCACCTCGGTCATGGGGACCGTGCCAATGTTGCACAAGTCTGTCAGCGATGGAACCGTGCACTTTCGTCGCCAATTCTTTGGCGTTCCGTCACAGTCTTCATCGATCGTGATCTGCGTGGTGACTTCCCTTTGGCGGGAGAATTAGCCGTATGCATATATTTATTAAAAATAAAACTTCCATTATTCTCTTTCCTTACACAATCACACGGCTAATTCACTAAACGTGTCACGGTGTATTGAAATTAAATTGATATTTATTGGAGGCTAATCGTCAATCGTAAGAATACAAATTTCTTGAATATATTCCAACGAAAGGATTTACTGTTACCAATGGAATATCGAATATCATACATTTTTTTTTTTTTTTTAATCTTAGTAAATAAAATCAAGCGTTTATATATATAACATATGCTTAAGAAATTTTCTATTATTATTGTACATATGATACGTATAATACTCGAAACTCGATAAACTCGTTTCATTTAGGCAAAATATGGACAGCATATACGAAGCCTGGAACTCGCCTGGTCACGACCGTATCTCTTGCCAAGAGAAGCTCGCATAACTCGTAACATTCAAGCCGAGGCAGGCGCTGACTTCCTTACGATCGTACGAGCCAAGAATGTTCAATTAAGGAAGCTGATACTCACCGATTGGATATTCATTTGTAAATGGGGGAACAGGGGCAAACTGTTATATGCCCTTGCTAACTTTTTAGGGTAATTGATTAATTAGCAAGTTTCTTGAAATTTTTTACGCCAAAATTATTTGATAAAAATCTAAAAAAAAAAAAAACAATAATTTATGTATTTAAATATTCATGAATCATTCTTATCGTAAGTAATTTACTTATCGATTCTCAGTAATTTAAAACAAATATTCGTTCACATAGTTGTCAGCATAATTTGGAAACGCTTAGCTTGCTGAATGCAACTCTTGGAGTGAGCGACGTGTTGCGACTTCTTGCCAGTGCTTCGAAAAGTTCCACCGAGCACTTGGCATATCTAGATCTTCGGGGTGCGTTTCGAGAATGGCAGGCGCCTCACAGCAATCCAAGGCACGTGAGATATCTTTATCGATTAACTAATAATTATTGCACAATTATCGCAGAGTCGAAGGATTCGTAACAAAAACAATCTTGTCAACAGCCTCATGGCAATTCAAGACGCGCGAGACAGCTCTATCAATTAATTAATTAATTTTACTGCGATCGTTGTTGCACGTATGAAAAAATTAAAATAATAATGATAATAGATAAGAGATAAAATTAATTGTAATAGTATATTATTACGTACTTACTCTTTTAATATATAATTTTTTCATAATTCATTCCCTTGTTGAAATATCGATCTTAGATATTTTGCTCGATCTTCTATTAATTTACAGTACAAAAGAAAAAATATTTTTTCTTCATGCACTTTTAAATTTTTTAGAAGTTACTTCATTTATATTTAGTTTTTTAAATTATATTTGACACTTGTTTCGCAAATATTTCAAAATTGAATTATTCATTGAAAAAAAAAGAAAGGAAGAATAATAAATATTGTTAAAAGTATTCACCAATATTCCTCTCCATTACTGTCAATTAATCCGAATCACCTTGATATACCATCGTTCAAGAACGCAATGATTGCGATACCCTGATAAAATAACAATCTTGCCAACAGGAACACAAAAGTAACCCTAATTACTTGACAAGGGTTATTCTTGCGAGAGATGGCCTTGACAAAGATCGCATTTATAAAACCCATTTTTCATTTTACATTATATAATAGCTCTTAGATCATAAATCATTGACTTTATACCATTATATTACAGCATTTTACCTTATAGAAATCACAGATCATAGATTTCATTGTGTTGTTTTCAACATGCGGGTCTCGTTTCTAATTACCGTAATCGCAATTTTGATTGTTAAAATTGTTCTTATTACAAGTCTTGCATAAATTTCACGATATGCTTTTTCTTTATTTTTCTAGGCTAGACAGATCCAAGTTTTATCTAAAACAATTTATTTTAAAAAATTATCATCGTTTCCCCGACGAGAATTACTTTCATCATAAATCCTTTCAATTTTTTTTTCAGATACTTGCGTCTGCTTGGCCGATTTCGCGCGTTGACAATACTCAGACTCGATTATCCAGCCTTGTCCGACCAGACTTTAATTGCCTTAACGAATGCAGCGCCAAGAGTGTTGAAAACGCTGCACATATCGGTGAGAGATTCTGATTCCAGACATCACACGATCACCGACACAGCCTGGCACAATTTGGTACTCGTCTGTCCGGAGCTCACAGTGTCTTACACTATAGGTACAATATGATACAGAGTGACGTAAAAGTAATCATTGATTTCCTTCCACCCACGTCGGGCCAATATCGAGCTGATGGTTATTACGTTTTGTAATTCGTGGAAATTTCCATTGTTGCATCGAGCAATTTAGAACGAATTATACATTCGAGAAATCCGATTTAAAGACGGATGATTACTTTTGCGCTGGAATTACTGTTGTCGAAGCCTTTTTTTTTTTTTTCAAATTGCACGTCGCTTATGTCGCATCGAGCGATTCTCATGATATTGTGATGAGATTATTTTTAAATTAATTTTATATATCATTAATACCGATGGCAATAACATTCTTTGAAAATTAATAATTAAAATCGGCCATTCAAGCGTATTCACACAGCAAATAATTTTCTTGCTATTATTTAAAATGTCGTTTTTATTTTTAGAATGTAAATTTAAATAATCACAGATTATTATGAAAGAAAGAATTATTTTTTAATGCTACTTTATACACCTCATAAAATCTACGAATATTGAATATTCATACATAGTGAGTATCAATAATTCATTTCATTTCTATTTGTTGCGAACGATGAATTGAAATATCGTTTATTTATTTCTAGAATTTATGAACATTGAAATTGCTCGGTATCCAATTATCATCAGTTTTTTATTAACATCTCTCGTGTTTATTATATAAAATTACTTGACTTCTTTTTTTTTAATTTTTTTTTTAACATATCACTTGGTAATAACAAGTAGGGTATATTAAACGCACGAGCAGTAATGTATACAGCCAAGAGATATTTTATCGAAAGGAAGTTGCAAGGTCAGCCTTGATATATAATTAATGCCTCGACGCTATTCACACACAAATCATATGAATGGAATCGCTCCGCGTCTCGAAAATATGTGATTCAATGCATCATTTAGCTTGTTAAGTTTGATTTTCAGTTAACATATCCCATTACGAAGATATGTGCTACTTCCTACTGCCCAGCGTGCCATTGGCTAGGTTTCAAATGTTCAGCGGTCATGTGTGGGATCAGAGTAGATCTCGCAATTTCAGAAGCACTGTTGGATTACTTATTACCCATTACACCAACACTCTAGGTATAATAAACTCTTCCAAATCCTACACATCTTTTGCATTCTGTGCATTTCCTCTGCGCGAGTGTTCTATTTCTTCATCGGGTTATCCGTCGTAATAATTTTCCTGCTTTGGCTATTGTCTCTTCCAAATTACGTAATTCTATGTTATTGAAAAACGACGCTTGAATATATCTTCGTTCTTTTCAATATGTTTCTAAAAATTACACTTCTTTTCAATAATATTGAAAAATTTTGTGTATCTTCAAAATTAAAGAAATTCAATACATACGTGTTAAACGATAATTTTCCATTTGAAATAGATAGATTATTTCCGGATAAAATTACGTGAGAAATAATTATAATTATGGAAATATATCCTTTCTAACATGACTGTCTAATTTAACGTTTTAAAAATAAGCGCCGTTTGTTGCCAATGCCATTTCAAAATCGTGTTAAAAAATAATATTTTTAATTATTTTCGATTCGTATTAAGAAACGAAATATTTTACAAATGTTTTAAGATTTTACACGATTATTAAACATCTGGCATTTAATATAAGACTAATTACATCGACGTATTACAGCGGAAGTGATGTTACAACTCAGAAACAATCGTGAGATGCTCGACGATTTGCTCGTATCGATGCTGGTACGTTGCAAACACCTAACAAGATTACAATATGACGGTATAATAAGAAGTCTTGATACTTTACGGGACATCTGCCAGCTTCAAGCTGAAAACAAGACTCGTAAGAATCCAAACACTTGTTCTCATTCAATACAATCAATTTCAACTTTAAAAATCTTTTTTCTTATTCAAAAAACTAGGACAATTGAAAGTATCAATTTTTAATTCATTAGTCTTAAAAAAAAAAAAAAAAAAAAAAGAAAACAACAAAAAAAATTAATTTTAGTTTAGAAAATATCCATCTTTAAGATAATGAAATAACGAATAGATTTTCGTACGATCCATGTGAAACCACGTAACGTTAACGCCCGGAATCGCGCCATTTTGAACGACATCAACTACCATTACGACCACAAGATGATGGAACAAGGAGTAGATTTCCGTATCGAAGATCCGGCCTCGGTTTTGGTGTTCTACTGAAATGTTAATTTCTCAGCTGTCTACCGGTATCTGTCCCACTCGAGTCTCTGGTTATTAAGGCCAAAAAAATAAAACACTGTCCGCCCTTCATTTTGATGCGATTCATTCTTTTTATCCTCTTTTTAATTGTATTATGTTTATTTTTGATAATTCGAATTTATTTATGATTTGTTAAATATTTTTTTTTTTTACAAGACACTCGGTATTTCTTTTTAATATTATAGATCTATCTATCTTTTATAATTGTGTAAAAATAATACGAGTCACGAGTTTATTTTTTTTTTTTTTTTTTTTTTCTTAATTAGACGAAGAATTATTGAGCTGCGATAGAATACTGAGTAATAAATTTAGAGTATTATGAAATTAATTCTCTTTTCTTTCTTTTTTTATTCTCGTCGATAGTATTCGCGTGGATGAGTTAATTTAATAACAATAAATACGATATTACAAAAGATCTCGTAATAACAATTTATAAAAATATATAGAAGCTTTAAATAATAAGTAAAAAATCATTTTCATTATTATTTTGAGTAAAAGAGATCCAGAAAAGATTTTCGTTGTTTTCACGATAGAATACAATCAAGTTTCAAGCTCAATATGACTTGTATGACTTGTAAATAGTATATATATACTTTATATATATATATATAAAGTATAAAAAAATGTGTCTAAAAAAGTAGAAATTTACATTGATGTTAAATATATCACATTATTTCAAAAACTTTTAATTTTTATAATTTCTAATTAATTGATCGTAAGTAATTTAATTACATTTTCGTAATATATATAATTCATATATAAAATTCGAAAATCAGATATATCGACTTAACGATCAATTAAAAAGAAGTTCTTCACGAAAGAAAGATTCAACGAATTATTTACGACAAGAAAAAAAATGCTCCTATAATTATCGTAAAATCGAACGATACTTGTACGATATTAATTAGAGGCTAAAAGAAAAATATGAAAAGTCCATTTTAAAATGGTGTTTATATTTAATCTCAATTCTCGAATCTCGAAAAACTGTTTTGCAAAAAATGAAAAATCACTTATCATATTTTTCCTCTATAGTCTTTAACTATTATTACTTTTTAATTCGTTTATACGAAATAGCACGATGATATTTGTCAGATGCTTACAGAAGTTTACAATGATCAGTTATTACATCTTAATACTAGTGTCAAGGACGGCTTTATAATCGCAGAGATTATGAACTCTGCACATTTAAAATTTTAAAAACGAAGACATAAAAAAAAAAAATCTCACATCTTAAATGCATTATTATTATTTTCGTCGATTTTTAAAAATTTCATATTTTCTCAAAAAATAACATATACAATATAGTTATATATATATATATGGATAAGATATCTCCTTCAAGCGATCGATTTCGATGTTAATCCACTTGATATGAATGGCGATTATATTCGTAAGGGTTGCCCTGATTTCTCGAGAGTTTTCTAAAAGTACCTCAAGGGTCATAAATTGCACAAAGATGTCCCAGTATTAAACGATCGAGCTGTGTCAATTCACGCTTGTCCAAGAAATAAGAAACAAATAGAAGAAATACGATGGATGTCGGCTATTCTTATTGAGAATTAAATTTAACATTTTATGAACTATACATCATATAAATTTAGCCGCTTTATCAAATTTTTCTATTATTTATTGTCACGCATTGATTTTTTATACTATTTTAAATACTTTGAGACAAATGATAGAAGTAGCAGTTAGTTTTGACCTTCTAAACATTTCATAACGAACCATTTAATACTGGAATTGCATTAAAATCAAAAAATATATATATATATATACATCTCAATTTAAGGCTGGGACTATTGGAACGATCCAATAATTAAATATTTAAATATAAAAGTACAAAAAGATCACTCATCTTCAAATACTTCTCTTCCACCATCCGATCTGAAGAAATTCTTAATCTTAAGGGTCCCCATAGAATCATAAAAATTAACGACAAATAGTCCCAGTCTTACCTGAAACAATCGCCTATTGTTTCCGCCTATGCTGGAAGCCCCTTGCCGAACAACTAACTCTCTTCCCATCCATCTGCTTCTCTCATCCTGTTTCAACGACAAGATTTCATATGAGTATTCAAAACGGTCCTCGTCACGAAACCTTTACCACACCGAGGGCAAACGTATGGCCGTTCACCGGTATGGTAACGTTTGTGAACCACCAACGTGGATCTCTGTGTAAAAGCTTTGCCGCACTGGTCGCAAGAGTACTTCCTCTCGCCGGTGTGCGTGACGTTATGAGTCCTGAGGAGGGTCTCGCACGCGAAACACTTGCCGCATACCTCGCAGGTGTAAGGCTTTTCGCCGGTGTGCGATCGATTGTGTATCTCGAGGCCTTTCGCTGTTTTTAGCTCTTTGCCGCAAAGTGCGCATAAATATCTACGCCTCTCGTAATTGGGCATGTCGCCGTGAGCCTTCACCTTATGCTGCTTCAGAACTGATTTGTACTTGTAAACCTTGCCGCAAACGTCGCATTTGTGCTCAGCGGTTTGGGGATCGTCCGTTTCGAGTTTCTCCTGAATCAATGCCGCTGGGTCGTAGTGGTAGAGACGATTGTGCTCCTTCAGACTGTGTTAATTTCATTCGAGTAATCTTTCTTTCTTTTGTTTTTTCATTGTGTTGTTGGATATGGAGGAGGTATCAGAAGCGTTGGAATATTTTTTTTGTTAAAGAGAATTGGAATAACCTCGATTCTTGAAATATCGAATATTCGTTACTGATATTTTTATGAAAAAAAAAAATACTCTATTTATGAAAAGCAAATAAGAGTGTAATAAAATTTATACGATTCTAGGAATGTACTTAACAAATAATGTATTATATAAAATATGATACGTAAAAGTGAAATTAGTAATACGTTTAAATTTTTCTTATCTTTTAAAATTATATTGAAATTGAATAATACTCAACGATTAAGGAAAGGAAATTTTAAAGAATATTTAAAATTGCGTTCGAATTTCCTCGAGGTCTTTGCCAATCGATCACCTTCGCTCAACCACTACGTGTATGATTGTGTATGTAAATGAGTTGATAAAAATAATATTGTCATACCTGTACACGTCATTGAAAGTCGTGCCGCAAGCATTGCACTGCTGAAATTGCATAAAGTTGTGCATGGTCGTATGAGTGGTCAAGGAATCCTTGTCCACGAAGTTCTCACTGCAGATTTCACATGTGAATTTCACCTCTCGATGATGTCGTTTCGTATGCCTTTCCACATCGGCAGCATTCACCCCCATGAAACTGCACTGATTACAGGGTATGGTTTTTGGAGTATGGGACTTTTTCACGTGAGCGTTCAGCATGAATTGTTGCGGATACGTCTTGTCACAAGTGGCACACTTGAAGGGTCTATGGATACCATGGACGATCCTCAGATGTGCCACCAATCTGGTCACGAAGTGAAACTTTTCTTGGCACAGATCGCAGACTTTCTCGTTTCCCTCGAATCTGGAATTTAAAATCGAAATTATCCTCGAATGAGCAACAGAATCGTTTTATTTAATTTCATTTTTTTCTTTTTTTTGGATAAAAAAATTGAGTAGAGATTCGATCGACTTCTCGTTCTATTCACAACCATTATTAGATCATTAGATCGGAGGATATCATTAAATATGCAAAAGTGTTTCTAATTACCTCTTTGTTATTGTAATTTTTACAAAATGCAATGTGCAAGAACTCACTTTTGCTCAGGATCGAGAAGGACATCCTCGTTCTTGATTCTGAAATCTTCGCAGCTGCTAAACTCGTCGTGCTCGTTGCTCCAGCTGCTAGAACGAGGGAATCTTCATTGACAAAGATACACATTTACACGAAGCATCATGATATTCTCTCAACACTGATATTCGTACGTACAAACAAAAAAAAAAAAAAAGAAAGAAAGAAGAAGAAGCTTTCGATGCTTTTGTAAATGCGCGTACAAAAATCCACGCGTAAAAAAAATCTCCATCCTACATACATTCTTCAATAAAATACAAATTTCTGTTCAGATTTCTCTCATCATCCTTTTTATTCAAGTATTCACACAATTATTTCGTGATAACATAAAGAGAAGAGGGGAATTAAAAAAAAAAAAAGAAGAGAGAGAAACATGATCACGAATTTACTCGTCTATTTTTTTATCACATCGAAGTCAAGTCTCGAGCTGCGAGGTTTTCTCGTGCGTCTTGCGATGCTTCCTCAAAAAACTTCCCGACACGAATCCCTTGCCGCAATCCACGCATTGATACGGCCTTTCCCCCGAATGGTACCTAAGATGCAAGATCAAAGAGGTCCTCTGTGCGAATCTTCTTCCACACTGAGAACAACCGTACGGTTTTTCCCCGGTGTGCACCCGCCGATGAACACTGAGGTTCTCTTTGCTCGCGAACTGTTTGTCGCACACGTCGCATCTCGCGATCTTCTCGTTGACGTGGCGCCGCCTGTGCACCATCAGCCTTCTGCCGGAGGAAAGCATGGCGCCGCACAGATCGCACAGATGCTTAATCTTCTCGTGCAACCCGTGCAATTGCTTCAAGTGGCTTTCCAAGAAACGTTTCCGGGCGAAACCTTCCAGGCAGATCGTGCACACGTGTTTCTGTTTCGCGCCACTCTTCATCTCGGCCGGTAAAATGCTCGCGTGATGCGTCCTCATGTGATGGGTCAGATTCTTCTTGTAAGGATAGGCTTTGGCGCAGTGGTCGCATCGATAGATCTCCTTCCTCGTGTGCACGTTCACGTGCTCCACGTACTCTGTCCTCAGGAAGAAGCCCTTCTGGCACTGGCTGCACCTGAACGAGTAATCCTTGGTGTGCCGACGACGATGGCTCTCGAGATTCGACTTCTGGTTCGACCTGTAGTCGCACAGGTCGCAGGCGAACCTCTTCGAGCCTGTGTGGATTAATTTGTGACGGGCTATGTTCATGGGACTTCGGAACGTTTTGCCGCACTCGTCGCAGCTGAAGGCTCTGTCGATGTTGTGCAGGTTCTTCAGATGCTCGACCAGTTTTCTCATGTGGCAGAAACATGCCCCGCATTTGATGCATTCGTGAATCGCTCGAGACGTTATTCTTCGTGACCTGAAAACAGAGGCGTCGATGAAGTACACGATAATTCGTGATCCATTTATAAATAAACCTGATTACAACTATTGAGATATTGTAATCGTGGAATATTTTCATTGTTGGGACTTTTTTTTCTTCTTTTGTTAAATTTTTTAATCACATACCTACCGATATTTCAGCGATGTTTATGATTTATCAATCTGTAATAATAATTTTGATCAAAATTTGGCACATGATATATGTATATTCGTTGGAGAAATTTTTTTTTTTTTACAGAATTAAAATATGGAGAAATACTTGGAAATATGTTTACGAAAATAACGAAGAAACGGAGGATTATACGCGAAGAAAGATGCCACGTTTGCGTATCTTTTTTCAATGATTTCAATAACCAATTATTGAATGTATTGATAAAGCTTTATCATTTCTTACAAAATTTTTTTTCTTAACATATAAATACATTTGATTAATATTCATATTCAGCAATATTTAAATTTCAACTAGTGTTGAATATTCTTTTTTTTTAATATTGACTTTTTATGCAAAGTTCTTTGTACAAAATTATAGAAACGCTCCGCTTGTGACTTCTCGACTAATACATTCGATCTTTCGAGAAATGGACGTAATATGGACGTATTGAAAAATAATTATCGTTTTAACCTGTATAATTAAAGCCTGTTTGCATAGTACAAAGTACATACTTACATATATACGTATATAAGATTATCCAATACAAATTATGCTGTAACAAAGTGAACAATGAATAATATAACGATTTATCGCAAAACGACGAGATGTACAAATGTTCTTTTCACAATTCCTCGCTAACTAATTTTATCCAATTATAATTGATTATTTCATCTTTGTACAATTCCCTTACAGCGATATAAAATTATACTGTCTCGAGTTTCTAAACGTAATAATAAGATAAAATATTTTTTTACACGATTGATCCATTATTTATAATAAAAAGATGATACTTCCTCTTTTGTCCTAATATTTTAATATATAATATAAAAACGACACGGATAAAAATCTAACACATAATATTCAACTACTATATACCAACAATACGATAATTACTACGCTGCAAATATTTGGACGAAAGATATATATATATATTTTTATAAACACGATAAAAAAAGAATTCAAACTTTCAAGTTTTTTTTTGCATAAATGTCCAAACATCTGCAATTTTTAGTAATCACCGATATCAATAAAAATATATTAATCGTACGATATTAAAAGAAAACAACGCGAATTTTACACTTACAGAACCAACAATACGACAGACATGAACCAGAACCACGAATATTTAATAATGATAAAAAAAAGAAATCGTTCACCACACTCGACTCAATCAATTCTCCTTTTTCTCCCTAGTCGCGTCACTTAATCCCCGAGTAAAATCCGCGATAATCTTCCTAATAGAGATCACAGGGAGCGGTGGCAAAGGTCCAGGATGTCGCTTCCTGTGGCAGATCAATCCCGGCTTTTGAGCAAACTTCTGCCCGCATATATCACAAGTGTACGGCCTCTGGCCGGTGTGTATCAGTATGTGTTGCTCCTGAGCAGTCCGCCTCGGGAACTTTTTACCGCAGACAGGGCAAGAGAATGGCCTGATACCCTCGTGGATCCTCAGATGAAGATCCAAATCCCTCTTCTGGCCGAAAGTCTTGCCGCAAGTGGGGCACACCACTTTCTCCTTTTTCTCGTGCCAGAGCAAGTGCTGGTCAAGGTTGTATTGAGTGGTCATGCATCGTTTGCACAAACTGCACTCGAACGCGGGCTTGTAGTGCCTGTATTTCATGTGAGCCTTCAAAGAGGGCACGCTCTTGCACGCGTGCCCGCACACCGTGCAAATAATGGGCGGCGCGTTGCTGTGCATTTGCTTCGCGTGCTGCACCATGTCGTTCTTTATCTTGAACTGCTTCCCGCAAACGGAGCACGAATAGTCGAAACTGCTCGTATGCTTCCGGATGAAATGATCCTTCAACGTCCACCTGTTGTTGCTCTTGTACTCGCAGATGGTGCAAGGGTACAGCACAGGCCCGTGCACCTGTTCCGTGTGCTGCTTCAAGTCTTTCCTCAGTCGGAACGTTTGGTCACAGGTCTTGCAACGATGCCTGTGCTGCTTCATGTGCGACGCCAACAACGATTTCCTGTTGAACTGTTTACCGCAAAAATCACACTCCAAAAGTAACTCGGCCGGTCTCCTCGCTTTCCTCATCAATTCGACGGGTTTCCTCGAAGTCGGGGACGTCGAGTCGATCCTCGATCTCGTCCTTTTCCCTCTCGATCCGTCCCTTCGATTTTGCCTTCGCTCTTTCTTCGCCAACGTGTACGAGTTCTCTATCTTGATGACGCAACTCTCTTCCACAGGATTATTCGCCTCGCTTCCGTTCAATGGATCCGATGCAGGTGAACTAAAACAGACCGAGGTCGTTCCTAATTAGGATTTGGTATCTACACGTGGCGTCTACAACGTGACAATGCTTCTGTATGGAGAGCTTACTTACTTGACAAATTTTTAACGGAATGATGAACGTTTCACGATCGTTTAGATATATATATATATATCTTATATATCTATACATACATATATATATCTTAAAGATTTTCGTGTAATGGGCGATGTATAATACAAATGTGATCTTAATTATACGCCGGTATTTTATTTTCAATAGAAATCTTCTTTCTATTACTTTTTTTTGGAAATAAAAATGCAAACTTTTTCTTTATACTTACTTTTTCTTTTTCATATCTTTCGTAAATTGGAATAATAATAGTTTCTCTGCTTGCTTAAATATTTTTATATTTTATATAATAGTTACAATATCTAATCAATTTTAATTGTAATTTTATTGAAAAATTTGAGATATACAATGGTAAAAAAAAAAATACAAACAAGATTCGTACGATTAAACATACAAAATACTTTTAAAAATATGTAAAATTCATACTTTATCAATAAAGATAACGATACAAATAACTGTATCTATAAAAGCCTTGAATACTTATAAAAATCCACTTAATACGAAAAAGTCCATTTAAAATGTGACAGTGAAAAAAGGATATATAAAAGTCGCTTAAAAGATTCTATCTAAAACTGCATCATCGTGCATACTTCTCCATCATTTCATCATAAATCTCTTATTTAAACTCTGTTCTTATTGAACATTGAAACAAATCAAATTTCTTCATCTATTCAACAATCATAGATATTAAGATATCATAATATAAAAAGATTGAATTACACTATTTCAATATCCAAATATTCCTTTAAACAAAAAAAAATTTCACATTCTTCTTTTCAATAACTCGCTCTCTAAAATCTCATTTATAATGGATCTCTCTATTACTTCCTAATCAAATCATTTCTCCTTCACAGCCTTCCTTTTTTACACCCTGACCCTAACACACTCCTTCTCTCCATCCATTCATTCAATTTTAATAATCGTGTTCTTCATGGTGTACTCCTTGGTGAACTCTGTGACGATGTTCTTTATCGAAACGACAGGCAACGGGGGCAACGGTCCAGGATGGCGTTTCCTGTGACAAATAAGCCCAGGTTTCTGAGCAAACGCTTGGCCACAAATGTCGCAAACGTACGGCCTCTTCCCGGTATGAATAAGCACGTGCTGCTCCTGAGCAGTCTGCCTTCTGAACGATTTCCCGCACACAGGGCAGGGAAACGGTTTGACTCCGGTGTGCACCCTCATGTGGGAGTCCAAGTCTCGTCCCCTGAACCTCTTTCCACAGGTGGGGCACAGTACCTTCTCCCTTGTCTCGTGCCAAGTCAAATGTTGCTCCAGGTTCTCACGCGTGGTCATACCTCGTCTGCAGATTTGGCACACGAACTCAGGCTTGTAGTGCCTGTACTTCATATGGGCCTTCAACGCATGGAGATTCTTGCTGAAATGGCCGCACACGTCGCACACTATTGGAGGTGCGTCGCTGTGGTTCTGTTTCACGTGATGGTTCAACGCTTTCTTTATCTTGAATTGCTTGCCGCACGTGTCGCACGAGAAATCGTAGTTGCTCGTGTGCAGACGAATATAGTGGTTCTTCAGGGTACCTTTGTTGTTGCTCTTGTACTCGCAAACGCTGCAATCGTACACTTGGCGTCGATGGATCTTCTCCACGTGGGAGGCCAGGTATCGGCGAAGCCTGAAAGTTTTCGGACAATCCGGACACTTGTGCTTGTGCTTCTTCAAGTGCTCGGCCAGGTTACTCTTTTTGAGGAACTTGCGTCGACAGTGGTCGCACTCCAGACGAGTTACGGCCTTCTTCTTTCCCTGATTAGATCGAGGAGAGTCCACCTCTTCCCGATTCGTGGATACTATACTCTCCAAGTTTTCTTTGCCGATCCAATTCACGTATCCGTCGGGGAACTCCAACGAGGAGAGCGATTGTTCCGGCTTGAATTCTTCGCTCAGAGGATCGAAAATTCTAAAACAGAAAATTGAACGCATCGTGTTATCGTTGGTTTCGAGGAGGATGAAAAGAGTTTTGACATTGGTGAATAACTTCGAGATGATCGAGGTGTTGCATCGAGCGTAAAAACGTCGAAAAGTTTCGAAATCTTATTATGAACTTAAAAAAGTACGTATAAACATACCGTTCACTGGAAAATAATTTTGGATTTTTCGAATAAAGCGTTTTAACAAGCGTTTAACGGATTAACGCTTAAATTTAAACACGTTTTCTGTGTAAAATTTGATAAAAAATAAAAATGAAACCTTAAGGAGTCTAATATCTGTATTCATCGTACCTTCTCTACCTTCTTCTAAACGATCCAAAACAGTAGTAGCCTGTAAAAACGTATAAAAACAATCGATTATTATCGTTTCAACCCGATCGCTTAATATCATCAAATATACTTATCTTGCATTGTTACTTTAAAACCATTTTACATAATTCTATGACGATTATGTAAAATATTCGTTTCATCTTTACAACGATATTTGATACGTTTTTAAAAAAAAGTCAGAGAAATATAATTTTCATTTCTCTCTTTTTTTTTTTTTTTTTTCGATCGGCGTTATTGCAAGGATAGTTGAACAGATCGGGCTCAGTAAAAATATTTATTTCAAACTCAAGCTATACACAGCATGTATACGTAATCGTCCTTATTAGAGCGAGATTTATTGATTTTTAGAAAAATAGCCGTTCTAGGCGTAGCATTCTATCGCGCGAGCATCCTTTTTCTCGTGGATTTCTTTCTTTCTTTTTTTTTTTTTTTTTACATGATCGAGTGTTATTGCGTTTACACACGGAATAGGAGGAGTGCACATCGCGTTACGTTATATATCTAGGAGGAATTAGCTCTCGCAAATAGAACAGAACGTGTCGTCGAGACATATCACAAAGGGTGTACCACAACGGGGTTGCGATGAAATTACGATTAAATTCACGATACGCGAGTAGAACGACACCAATACGTTATTAAAATGAAATTCTTCCATTATCTTTCTTCGCGAGCAGGATGTTAAAGCGAAAACCTTTTAACGCGATCAAATCAATCTGATTCTCTCTCTTTGTTTTTTTTATTTTTTATTTTTTTTTATTTTTTTATTATTAAACCGAATCACCACACATGTATTAAACTATGAAACATTAATTTAGCGTTAATAATTTTAAGGGGAAAAAAGAAAAAAAAAAAAAGAAAAAACGAGCAAGCACTTACTTGCTCGCTTTTTGAAATATTCTTCTTAATTTTATTCGATATTTGTCAGTCACCGAGAATGCAACATGATTTTATTCCCTCATCAATTTGAAATTTAACATATTAAAGGATGTTTACACGATTCGTTTGCAATTTTTTTTACAGCCATTATATAGGAAAATCGATCTTTTCTTTTTTTATTATTTTATATATGTACGTATATAATAATAATAATAATAATAATAATAATAACAATAATAATAATAATAATAATAATAATAATAATAATAATAATAATAATAATAATAATACGAATTGATTTTTTTTATCAACAATATGAAACTCTAAAATTAAACTAAAGATTAAATTAAAATGATATATTAAAAGCTTAGAAACCGGTCGAGACCGACTTCCAGACTTTCCACAGGTAAACTGAAAGGAAAATTCAAAAAGGATATACCTATACTCTTCTTGTTTTTTTCTTTCTTAACATAAATTTTCAATTTACAAGGCTGATATTATATTGTACATCTTATTTATCTCTATTCTTACAATTACACGCGATAAGTCTAAAAATAATTATCGTTCGTCTTTAATCTTTCAATCTCAATGGTATACAAAGAAATCTTGGAATTTCAAGATTCGCGTTTTATTAATTGAGTTTTCGATTGAACAAGGAATTATTGCTCTTACTCGTTGTTGAAGCATACATTTTTTTTTTTTTCTTTCGGAAATTTCAGTCGTAATTTATACGTAAGTATTTTTTTTTTATTACGAAAAAATTTTTATCGTTAATAATATCAATAATATATATTTACCAAGAATAAAAATATATACGTGTAAAAATATACATGACAAAAATTTTGATTTAAAAACTAAGATATTTAAGCACTGTGATACATTTAACAATTGTTACTTCTTTTTTTTAAATTATCATTAATGATCGTGCATAGAATTATCATCCAATAATAATAGGAACTTTGCAAGTATAATATTAAAATCCATGATTGGAATAAGGGAATGATCGATGGATTTGTAAAAAAAAAAAAAAAAATTTTTCAATTTTTATCATATTAAAACTACAATATAGATCTTAATATATAATGTCGAAAGAAAATTAAGGAATTAATAGGTTACGTTTAATTTTATCGCTATTCCTAATTAATCAATAATATATAGTTATATCGTTCAATAAGATTTGTTCTTCGATCATAAGAAATACTAGAATAATAACGATATCGATTATCAAATTGCTAAGCGATAACACAAAAATTCCCTAAAGACGATATTATATTGTAATAATATTAAATTTCATCGCTTACTCTTAATCTATCCTTCAACGACGAGCAGGCCACAAATCAACACTCTTACGACTCTCTACTAGATTAAAAATTTACCTATCTATCTATCTATCTATCTATCAATCGTCGCGCACCCGATTTACTAAGCGAAATTTTTCTCTCATCGAACTCCATTCTCGACGATACGCGAATATCGAAGATTCGAACAACCTTTAACAATCCAAAGACGAAACATCTCGCGGCATCCTTTCTCTCATCGATCGAAATCGGATTTATTTAAGTATCGAAAGTGTCGGAAAACGTCGCCTTCGAAAGATCGAAAGATCGAACGGAACAATTATAATTAATTCTACGCCTCCTCCTCGATCCTCTCCTCGTTCTCGCGCGCGTTTATCTCCTGCACGTAGCCTTCGGTGAACTCTTTCACGATGTCGGCGATCGGCATTACGGGCAACGGTGGATGAGGGCCAGGATGCGTTTTCCTGTGACAGATCAGACCGGGCTTCTGCGTGAACGCCTTGCCACATATGTCGCAGACGAACGGCCTCTTCCCCGTGTGGATGAGCAAATGTTGACGCAACTGAGACCTCCTCGCGAACGGTTTGTTGCATATAAGGCAGGAGTGTGGCTTGCACCCCGTGTGCACCGCCATGTGCCTCTTGAACGAGTCCTTCTTGGTGAACGTTTTGCCACACTCGGCGCACACGATCTTCTCCCTTTTCTCGTGTTGCGTCAACAAATGTTGATCGAGATTCTCCTGCGTCACCATACGCCTCTTGCATATGTGACACTCGTATTTCGGCTTGTAATGCGCCCATTTCTGGTGCACGTAAAGGGAGCCGCTGTTCTGGCACAGTTTCCCGCACACGTCGCAATTGATCGGCTTCTCCTTGTGGTGAAACCGTACGTGATTGGTCAGGTCGCCCTTCACCTTGAACTTCTTCGGGCAAAACTTGCACTGGTGCTCGTAACGGTCGGTGTGCTTCCTGATGAAGTGGGACTGCAACGAGTGCTTCGATCTGCACACGAAGCCGCAAGCCGCGCACGGGAACAGCATGTTGTTGGGCCGTTTCCTCGACCAGGTCTCGTGCTTCCTCTCCAAGTGTGCCGCGAACAGGCTCTTCTTCAACGTCCTGTAATCGCATACAGCGCATATGTACGCCCCGTCCTCCTGTATGCACACCTTCTTCTTGTGCGTCCACGCCACGTGCTTCCTGAACGAGATCGCCGAGCTGAACATCTCCGAGCACACTTTGCACTTGAGAGCGCTGCCCGCCCCCCTCGACACCTTCCTACGTGTCCTCGTGGGGGCCACGTGATTATTCGCCGACTCCAACATCTCCTCCTCCAAGTACTCTATCTGCTCTATCTGATCCTGATCCCCTTGCTCCATCTGCTCCACCACCTGCTCCAACACCTGCTCCTGCTGATCGTTCCCGTACGCCTCCTGCTCCTCCTGCTCCTCCTCCTCCTGCTGATACTCGACCACCTCCTTCGCCTCTTCCACGTCGCTCGACGTCAACTTCTCTATCGTCACCATGCTCCCCTGAACCTTCACCTGATAAAGATCACCGATCGCCTTCGCCTCGTTCTCACCCTCGATGCCGCCGTTCAGTATTATCGGTTTCACGTCGTCCTCCTCCTTCAGATCCCCGCTCCTGTTCAACAGATCCTCCTCCTCGTACAATTTCTCGTCGGTCGAATCGTATTGCAACTCCTCCTCGTCGTACAGGCACTCCACCTTCACGAGATCCTGCTTCTCCTCCTCGTTCCCCGCCTCGTCCACTTGCTCCGGTATATCCTCCTCGGCCAGCGGCGTGTCTCCCTCAGGTACAAACGCGTAGTACGGTTTCCCATCGAATTCCAGGATCTGCCATTTCTTCATCACCACCGATTCCTTGTCGTAGATAAAGATACCGCGCGAGTTGAGGGTGTCGAGCTCGAACCTGAAACATCATCGATCGCCTGCATTATTAACGGGGTTAACCTGTGCCCACCTTCTTGTTGATCTGCAAACTCTCTCTCAAAAAAAAAAAAAAAANANATATATATATATATATATATATATATATATATA